AGGACCTCGGGCATGCTATACAAGCACTCTACCAGCTGGGCTATATCTTCAGCCTCTATAATTTTTGTGTTGCCTCACTATGTAGACCTGGGTGGCCTCAAACTTGAAGACCTGCCTGCTTCTGCCTTCCCAGTGCTGGGACTAAACAATGTGCTACCACATATAGCCAGCCCCTTTAGTTCTACTTCTGTTTTTTCTCAGTCTGTTTTGGTGAGTCACTTTCTTAATTAAATATTAGTATGTAGACCTCTTCTTGCACTACACCTTCTCAGATTATAGCATCCCATACTCTTGTATTTCATTTCTGAATAAGTAGGCAGCACGCGTCCCCCGAACCAGTTGTTACAGCTCCTTATAGTGCTCTGTCTTGTTACTCTGCACACAGTATTCATTACTTAATATAAACTATGCCCGTTTGTTTTCCCTTTTGTAGTTCCAGCTACCCAAGATTCTCAAAGCAGGAGATTGGGAGTTACCCTAGCTTACCTCCATTTTCCTCAGCCTGTCCTTGATCAGATCACTTCACCTTCCACCTTTAAATTTTTATTACAATTATGGGGAGAGGGGCATATACATGTCAGTGTACCTATGAAGAGGTTAGAGGACTGCTTGCAGGAATTGGTTCTTTTCTTCCACTTCATGAGGTTGGAGCTTAGATCATCAGGCTTGGCACTTAGTGCCTTAATCTGATGAGCCATTTCACTGGCCTCTACTTTGTTGTTCTGTGTATCTGAATTTCCTCCATTTTTCTGTCTCCATTGCCACTGCCCAATTTTCATTTTCAGAATCATCATCCTCTCTACTCCATGCCCCCACTCTTAACCATTAGGCTATTTTCTCACTTTGTTTAAAAGTTGAAATTGTCAAGACAGTTACCCAGTCTGCTTAGACATGCACCACTTTATAAGAGACTCCAATACCTTTGGGGGAATAATAAAATATATGTATACCTGCTACCTGGAATGTGATTCTGAAAACCTGCAGCTTCTGCATTAACAGGAATTATCAAGCTCAGCCAGGCTTGGTGGTGCATGCTGTTAGGCAACAGTCAGAGGTAAAGGCAGGTAGATCTTTAAATCAAAAGCCAGCCTGATCTATGTACCAACTTCAGCCAGCTAGATCCTGTCAGGCCAGTGAGATCCTGTCTAAAATAATAATAATAATAATAACAGTAAAACAATACTGTCCACTCTCTAAGGCAAACCTATCTTTGCTCCTTTCCAGAGAGCTAACAGGCTAAGCCTTCCTCACCAAGTCCATAGTCAGCTATGTCCATCAAAGGGCTGACCTCTGCACTCTGGTACAGCTTTCCCTGTTCCCATCCCTTAGTTTGCTGAACTTTGAGTAGACCTGGTGTCACATTCAAAAAGCCTATGATTTTGGAGCCTATGCTCCAAGGGCAGAACATCAAGGCACTTTGACCAAGTACAGCAGTTTGTTATCAGAGGCACTACAAAGCAGGGCTGAAGGACCCAAACTGTAGTCACTCAAGATCTGTGGGCATGTTTCCATCATAAAGCATGGTTAATAAATACATTACTGTCTGAAACTGTTGAAAGAAATGGGTACAACTGTACCTCCTGACAACCAGGAATAACTAGCAAATAAACTCTCAGAGCAGATCCTGAGAGCTCCTGGGCAATGGGCGGAACCCTCAGGTTGAATGACTGGCCAATGGCCCACCCTGGGTGTGACGTATCCTAGTGGTGTTGCCTGCTGCCACACGTGGTCAGCTGAGACTGCCTACACTTCAGACCTGTTTTCCTGAGCTTTCAAGGCACCCGCTGTTGCTCGCTATGTCTACCTCTAGAAGTTGCCCTATTCCGGGGTGTCGAGACCGGCTCTCAGATAGCTACAGCACCACACCAGGGGGCACACTATGTGCCACCACCCCGGGAGGTCAGTAGGCAGGGCAGGGGTTTGTGCTGTGGGGGGTAGAGTGGGGTGGACCTTGGAATTGCTTCTGTGGGGTTCTCCAATGCATAGCATAGAAGGAGACTATTTGAAAATAGTTTACAAAAAAACTATTTATAAGCAACACTGCTTATAAACAGTTCATGTTGTGATTCCCAGCCATAAAATTGTTTTTATTGCTGCTTTATAACTGTAATTTTACTAGTTATGAATCACAATGTAAACATCTGCAGTTTCTGGTGGTCTTAGGCAACCCCTGTGAGGGGGTCGTGACTAACAATCGGTTGAGAACCACTGCAATAGAAGGTGGCCACAAAGTAAGCAAGTATTATGTAGTGATTGCAGCCCTGGGTCATGAGCTGCTGCACTGGCAAATGGGTTTCTGCCATGTGGAAACAGAAGGGAGCAGCAAGACTAGTACAGGGCTCTTCGAGGACACTACTGGCCATTTTCTCATGGGTGAGGCTAACCCTAAGGGGCTTAAAGGGTGAGGGGGAAGGTTTACCAAGGAATGTAACTCTCCCTTGCAAGAGGTATGAGAACCCAGGCCATGCTGGATGAAATTCATAATGTTACACCTTTTTGGTGAAAGGTTGGGCAGTTTGGCCCCACTGTATATACCAAAGCAACAAGAACTATGAACTGTACACTAACAGCCTAAAGTACCTGAGTTTTCAAGTGTGGTGTCTCAAGACTACCACCATTGTCATTGCGCAGAGTACCTACAGACTAGCTAGATGTCCCAACTTGCCTTGATGTTGCTTAGACTGAACTTGGTTGGGCATGTCTTTTGTGGTGTGACCTGCCAGCCGAATCCTAGTTGGGCAATAATGTGTTCAAGTTCCTGGATCTTAACTTCAGTTCTTATTCCTTCACAGGCACCAGGATCATCTACGACCGAAAGTTCCTGCTGGAGTGCAAGAATTCTCCCATTGCCCGGACACCTCCCTACTGCCTCCCTCAGATTCCCGGGGTCACAATTCCCCCAGTCCCACCCTCCAGTCTGGAGCTACTGAAGGAACAGAAGCAGACAGAGGAAGAGACAACCGGTAAGAAAGTAGGACTAGCAATTAAATGCCTTTGTAGAGTTGGGGCTCAATTCCAAGAGGGGTTCCTGTGCTAACTGGGCTTACAAACACTTAAGTGAGTAACTGTTCTCTTGACTTCTCTCCTTAGATGACGAACAATTTGAAATGGACATGTAATCCAATGCAAGATGACCTGTGTGGAGTTACGGATCTTTTATGCCACTGTTGCCACCACCTCTTCTAGGGTATTCAAGGGCAGCTGGCCTCATCTAATCTGGAAGAGTGACTTGTTGGTTCTGGGCTTCCTTTAGTTCTGAGGCAGCTGGACCAGGGATAACAGTGGGCACTTGCCAAGCCCTCAACTTTCTCTGGTCTATACATATTCCTCCCAAACCTGGCCCTCAGAGCTGGCACTGGGGAACAGAATATGTCACCTTCTGGCTGCTTAGTAAACATTCAACGAAATGCCTTGGCTCCAGTGTTCTACTGAGTGCTGAACTCTCAGCTATACAACTGAGAGACCCAGCAGGCCCAAGTCTGTTCCCAGCTCCCAATGGCTCCCTTCCTGCAGCAATTAGGGCTTGAGGCAGGCTATGAGAGAAAACTGCTAAAGTTACTAGGTCATAAAGCACAACAGCTGAGCCTTGCCAAGGGCTGGCTGTTCCTGTCTTTCCAGGAAGTGAGGTTCCCCCACCCCCATCCACTTGTAATGTGCACTCCTAGAAGAGATGCTGTTTCAGCTAACATTTCTCAGTTTCTCCCCTGCCTTTTCTTTTGCTTCCTATCTCTTAAGTACTAATCACCAGTTCAATTCTGGAAACCTTGCATCTCTCTTCTCAGCATAACCACCAGTACATTTCTGGTCCCAGCTATTTCTTTTTTTTAAAAAAAAAAAAAGTGTTAGAAAAGATTGGGAGAAGAGTGCTGGAGAAATGGCTCAGCAGTTAAGAGCACTGGTTGCTCTTGAGTTCAAGAGCCAACAACCAAAAATATCTCACAACCTTCTATAATGGGATTTGATGCCCTCTTCTGTGTGTGAAGGCATATATGCGGACAGAGCACTCATATACATAAATAAATCTAAAAGACTAGCCTGGTGATGGTGGCACACACCTTTAATCCCAGCATTTTAGAGGCAGAGGCAGAGGCAGACAGAGAACTCTTGAGTTCAAGACCAGCCTGGTTTACAGAACAAGTTCCAGGTTATTCGGGGCTACAGAGAGAAACCCTGTCTCAACAAAAAAATGACTAGGGCTTACACTGAAACCAAAATGAGGCAACACCTTGTTTGGTAAATCAGATATAGTGCAAGGTAACCTCTTCCTGCCCCTAGTCTCAAATGTTAGGACCATAAGTGTGTGCTACTACACCAACAGAAATGCAGGCATCTCGTGTTTTTCTCCTTCAGTTTAAACAGCAGAAACAACCCCAATCACTGTTTGTAATAACAATACACAAAGAATACAGCAAAGGGCATGGTCTCTTCTGACCAGAAAGTTTCTAGCTATTTGAGTCTATTCTTGGGCTGAAATGAAATTAGCCAACAACACCATACTATGTTACAAAAAAATGTGCTTTTCAGTCTAATTTTGAGAAAAGCAGGTAGCAATATGGCTATGCCCATCAAAGCCCTCCTTGATGAATGTAACAAGGAATGGTATTCATGGAGCAGGGAAACTGACACCAGAAAGAACCAGTCTGGCATCAGAATGGCTCACCTTTCCTACCCACTTCCCACCATTGAGATTTTTATTGAAATATACATATTATGAGTAACAAGTTATCTTGCAAGTGGCCCAGGTAGGATCTTTGGTCAGGCCCAACACGATTGTCTCCCTGGTGGTAATGGGAGCCAAGTGAGAAGAGGCCTTCCACACTGAGGCATAGATCATTTGAGTGAGTCTGGGGAGCCCCCAGGATTTGAAGACTGTTGGAAGCCTGGTACTGTCTGGTTCTCAGGTGCCATTGTAGATGTCTCTTCTTTGGCCTCCTCTGAAGACAGACTCCTCTTTTCTGCAATTAACCTTTTAACTCCCACCATCCACTGACTGACCTCAGTCACATGATCAACCATGAGTGAGCGGTGAATGTCATCTGCTGCATCCCACTGGTGGTGTAAAAGTTCTGAGGAGAGACAGGGCTTGAGCAAGTAATATTGGCACTTGGAAGTAATATTCATGTCTTCCATTCCTTCCCTCCCAATAAGTAAAAACCTCTTCACTTGTCAGTTCAGCCATCAATGGCAGGATAAAGGACCCCACCCATACCTTGTACTAGTAGTGCCATCCTCTTCTTTACAGGTATTGACAACTTCCCTCCAGCCCACTGTTCCTGAAGCAGTGCCAAGCGTCGGCTGATATCATCATGCACCTGTTTCTGAGACAGAAACCGATCCAACTCAGTGCTGCCATTATGTGCTTTCTCTGGCTCAGGAGTTTGACTCTTGGTCATTTTAGAGTTCATATTCATTTACCCAAAGAATAGAAGTCCCTGACAAAATAAAATGAAACCTGTGGATCTCCTCCAAAGACAAAAGACAGACATGACAAAAATGTTAACTTTTCAGTGCCTCCTCAGCCCCTTAGAGACTCATCTTAATGTTACTGTTCAAATAAGGAAAACATGACCATGCTGCATCCCCTTTCTTCAATCCTTCATCTCTAGAGGGCTGAAGAAACCTTCATACAAAGCTTCTCTTTCAAGTACCAGGGCCTACCTTTGTGTGGCCATGGCAGTCCTCCAACGCCTGTTCCAGAGGTCTCAGTACATCTTCCATCAGAGCCTCAGACTCAGTGACTGGGGAAGTTGGGGGCTCCACACCAGTAGCAGGACAAGTCCCCATAGGTGGAGGCCTGGAAGCCTTACTTGAAGGAGGTGGATGACCCATTGGAGGTGGTCCAGAAGTTTCTGAAGTTGGGGCTGAAATGTTCAAACTGGATCAAGCAACAAGGCTTAGTACCTTCCAATGATCATTTTATTTCCATCTTCCCATTTCTCTTTGTTCACAATGTTTAATCAACTATGAAATCTGAACACAGTTCTTCAACTCTTACCTCCTACTGCCCAATTTTATTGATTAAACCAAAGCATGTTGGGAACCAAACTCAAATCCTAGAAGAACAGCAAGTACTCTTAGCCACTGAGACATCTCCAGTCCCCCATTATAATCTAACACTTTTCACTGACAGATTTTTAAAGGGTAAAGAAAACTGCATTTCTCCACACTTCACAAATAAACATTTTTGAAGGGGAAAGGGAAGGAAGGGAGGGGAGGGGAGAAAAATGTATAGCTCAATTAAAAAAAAAAAGTAAAACATTTTCACAGGGTAGTAGTGGCACAAACTTTTTTTTTTTAAAGATTTATTTATTATGTATACAGTATTCTGCCTACATATATTCTATAGGCCAGTAGAGGGCATCAGATCTCATTACAAATGGTTGTGAGCCATCATGTGGTTACTGGGAATTGAACTCAGGGCCTCTGGAATAGCAGGCAATGCTCTTAACCACTGAGCCATCTCACCAGTCCCTGGCACAAACTTTTAATACGAGCATTCGGAAGGCAGATCTCTGAGTTCAAGGCCAGTTTGGTTTACAGAGCAAGTTCCAGGACCGGCTCCATAGCTACTGAGAAACCCTGTCTCAGGAAACCAAAAAATAAACATTTTCATATCTCTAAACTTCACTTTCTGTAAACACTTCCTTTTCCTATTTCTGGCCATGCCTCTTATTTCACTGATAAAGTCATCAAGTGGGATTTTTTTTTTTTTTTTTTTCTGTTTGAGACAGGGTTACACTCTAGCACAGGCAGGCCTCAAACTTGTGGCACTCTTGCCTCAGCTTTCTGCATACTGAGACCATAGGCATACACCACCATGCCCAACTCAGGAACTCCCCACTGGTCCTTTTAATCTGCCTGCCACCCGTTGGGGCCACCTTCCTTTCTCAAAAAGTGCTTGCTCCTGTTGGAGTAAGTGGAGGGTATCTCTCACTCATACTTTGCAGTCCAGTCCTTCTTTAGGCTTCCCTCCTATGATTATTTCTTTTCTCCACTATGATCACTTCTTGGCCTTTGCTCTATCATCTCATGAACGTACAAATGGGCTTTACTGTTTGCTCTCAAAACCCCTTAAATTTCTATTTTATTTTATTTTATTTTTTTTAAGACAAGGTCTGAAAAATCCACACCTTTTCCTTTGGGGATGATGTTCAAGCCCGTGACATCAAATCAAATATAGCATCCCACCACCTGCAAACCTATCTTGCAACACTCCATTTAAAAAAAAAAAAAAAACAACTTTTTTGAAGCAATCTACTTCAGTTTCTGAACCAGGCAAAGCTGTTCTCCTCTCAGAGAGTTTGCACTTACCTGTTTATTGTGCTTGAAATACTTTTGCGCCTTTCAGTCACATTTCCGTGTTTACTTAAATAGCCCCCAGGACACCTTAATTACCTGGAAACGTGCTTCTCTGCAGAGTCCCTACCAAGACCTTTTAGCTTGTTCACTACGTTTTAGTTTGCACTCAAACCGTTCCTGGCTCTAGCTTGACAAGTGCTCAGTAAATACTAATTAAACAAATGAGTAACACAAAGTCTGAGATGCTTATAACACAAAGATCATAGTAGGATCGTGGGAAGAAGAGATCTAGGCAAGAAATATCTGCAAACAGTCTGAGTGAGCGTTGTCCTTTTGTTCAACATACCATTTACTGACCAGGGCAGCAGAAAGAACAGGCTCGAAAAGCGCCTGCGCTGAGCCTCTTACTGGCTCCCAACCCCACTCTAATCGAGTCCTTGGGAGAGGAAAACGGGCCGATGGGACAGGTTTATCACGGACACCATCTTTCCGTACAGGATTCCGCCCATAGCCCTTACACACCTCTAGGGGATCCATCCTGAGGGGCCGCGACCCTCTTAGTAAGGGGTGTGCGTTTGGGTCCACCAGTCTGAGTCTGCAGCCCGTAAGAGAACTGCGGAGGGTCGTTCCAGCCGCGTTCCTTGTTGCCTGCGAAGGCAAGGAAGTGTGTGAAAGGTGACCGGGTACCCAACGGAGGTTACTCTGGGGTCAGGGGGAGTCAGAGTTCGCGCCGAGTACCCACAGCCAGCCCATCCGCCTTGCTCACCCGGCTTCACGTAAAGCTCCGCCATCTCTACTTCCGCGCCGCCAGTGCCAGCGGGGCAGCGCGTCATTTCCGGGGCGGTAGCTTACTCACTCAGTCCAGCTAGTTACCTGGCGGTACATGAGGAGCTACCTAGAGAGCAGGCACCAATTTCCTTCAAAGACAGCTGGCTGAGCCAAGCAGTGGTAGCGCACGCCTTTAATTCCAGCACTCAAGAGGCAGAGGCAGGCGGATCTCTGTGAGTTCAAGGCCAGCCTGGTCTACAAAAGCTAGTTCCCTACAAGAGCTAGTTCCAGGACAGGCTCCAAAGCTACAGAGAAACGCTGTCTCGAAAAACAAATAAAGACCTGGATGGAGGTCTTGTCAAGGGGCACCAAACAGGTAGGTTTTTCTAATGTCTCCTAGTTTGCTCTCAGGAGCAAATTCACCAGAAGTATCTGCTGGACCTAATCACATCAACCTCTGGAAGCTCACTATCAGTAGACTGACTGCCTGCACAATTTTTACATTTTCTCTAGGCTCACTAACAAGAGCTTCTTCAGTATACAAATATGTCAACTCTTCAGAAGTCTTCTGAAATGCCTTGGACAAGTCTCAGCTGAGCTCCCACAACCCTCTGGTAGTTTCTGGTATTTTCTGCTTAACTATTTGGTTGTTTCTCCTCAGAAAGTCTCAGAAGGCATCCTAATAGGCCTACTTTAATATCTGACACAGAAAATCTCATAAATTGTGTGCTGAATGAATGCAGTCAGATTTCCACTATGCACCATGCCCCGTGTGACTAAAGGCAGTCAACAACACCAAGCATACATACCCACCTCACACAAGTTGATGGTCCCCAACCTTATCCCACGTCTAATATACTCACAACTAGTGAGGTCACTGAGGGATTTTTATTTGCACTGATTCTGCTATAAAGTTGCTGAGGTAGAGCCAACTGTCCAGGGTTGGACAGGGGCAAGGAACAAAAGGACCCAAGGAAAAGGGTGCCAGGGGCCTAAGTTATAGTGCAGGGCCTCTCAGTCATTCATATAAACAGGAACTTGGTAATAAATAGAGGGTAGGCAAGGATCAGGGATAGGCAGGAAGGTGAGAGGCTACAGAACCCTGGGAACTGGAGAACTGTAAAGCCTCCTTCCTCAACCCTCTAAGATCAATTTAGGACATATGGAGAAGAGAAGGTTTTAGCCTGAAGGCATCAAGAAATGAGAAGACACCCCTCTTTCGAGGAGCTGCCCCAGCACCACCAACTCCTCCTTTGAGTAGTGGGGGAGGCAGGGGGCCACCAGGGGAGTCCATGGAGCTGGTCCGCTTGAGCCGAAGGCGGGCACGGGCCTGGGCACTCCAGGCCTTACCCCGAGCTGCTGAGGCCACCAGACACTTCTGGTATTGAACCTAGGAAGAAGGGGAGTGTGAACATCCAGTTTTCTGCCCTTGGACACCTGAAAGCTCCTTAAGGCAGGTAACTGGCCAAGAATTCTGCCTAGCATTCCCATGTAGCTCAAAAACAAAAACATAAAGCTCGACATTTACTAAGTACTTAAGAAAAACTAGACACTATATTAAGTGCTTTGTGTGATAATTAATTTAACCTAAGTTACTCATGAGGTGTTGCTTTACTCATCTTGCAAATGAAGATACCAAGGTTCAGATAAATGACTTGTCTAAGGCAGTGGTTCTCAACCTGTGGGGGATCACATACCAGATATCCTGCATAACAGATTTTATTTATTTACATTTAAAATAATATTTACATAACGATTCATAGCAGTAGCAAAATTAGTTATTAAGTAGCAGCAAAATCACTTTATGGTTGGGGGGTCACCACAACATGAGAAACTATATTAAAAGACTGTTGCATTAGGAAGATTGAGAACCACTGGTCTAGGGTCGCACAAACAGAAAATGTTATAGCCGGTGTTCAAATGTAAGTCTGTTCAGCTGCAAAGCTAGCATGTTTTGTGTTTTTTTTTTTGGTTGCTTGGTCTTGGTTTTTATGAGACATGGTTTCTCTGCAGCCTTGGCTATCCTGGAACTCACTCTGTAGACCAGGCTGGCCTCAAAACTCAGAGATTCTCCTGCATCTGCCTCTTGAGTGCTGGGATTAAAGGAGTGCAATACCATCTGGCCAAAGCTTGCACTTTTTTTTTTTCCTCCGAGATAAGGTTTCTCTGTGTAGCTTTGGTTCATGTCCTGGAACTAGCTCTTGTAGACCAAGCTGGTCTCAAACTCACAGGCATCCTCCTGTCTCTGCCTCCCAAGTGCTGGGATTCAAGGTGTGTGCCACCACCGCCCAGTCAAAGCTTGCACTCTTAACTACACCTACCACAAGAGACTATCCTCCATTTCTCAGTGTTCTGTAACAGTATCTGGCAAAACAGACTCTCTAGTGAAGACAAAGTCTACAAACCCAACCCATTCCCAAAATAACTGTCCCAATCAAACTCTTTTATTTATATAAATTACTCAGAGCAGATACTAATTACTTAGCCTTCCTACCTCCTCTTGTGCACCTGCACTGCAGCTTAAGTCGGTAAAATCTGCAGATCTCACTTTACTGTCTTCAGTGGCCCAGGCTAATCTAAGGTTCTCACGACCTGCTTCTGTCATTCTTGTTGTTCTATCACTGCATCCTCTAGAAGGCCACGCACACCACATTTCTCAGGGACTCTAACCCACTAACATCTCTCTCACGTCCATTCCTGAGGTTCTCTGGTATATATGCCCTGTCTCTTCACCTGGCACACTTCTTTGGGTGTCTTTTCTTTTCCCTCTACAGGTGAGGAAGTATCTCCATCATGCGGTAATGTAACTTGCTGCTGATGTGTTTCTGCTTCACTCTGTGATGGCAAAGGCTATATATGCCTTCTATAGCAATGACTTTTTGGATTAATTACAGTAGTTGGACCCTATAGATACTCATTTGTTGCATGAACAAGTGAACTGAATTAATGTAGCTTAAGCATCCTTCATTCAGATGCTCACATACACCAAGAAGTATGTTACATCAGTCCAATGGTGCCCACTCTGTGTAGCACACCTTCACTCACATGCTGAAACGTGTTACGAAAGTGTGTCCATGAGTGTTTGTGTGTGTGTGTGTACCTTGTATTAGTATTCCCCATACTTTGAGAAATCAGAAATAAGCCAGATGGTGGTGGCGCACGCCTTTAATCCCACTCGGGAGGCAGAGGCAGGAGGATCTCTGTAAGTTCGAGGCCATCCTGGACTACAAGACCTAGTTCCAGGGCAGACAACAAAGCGACACACAGAAACCCTGTCTTGAAAAAACAAGAGAAAAAAAAATCAGAAATAGCAATTATTATGCAAAATGCCCTAGACTCTTAAGTGTTGGTAACCAACACAAAACTTAGCAAAAACAGCATTAAGAGCCAGAATACTTGTGAAACAAATTTGGCCCTGGGATCACTGGGTTGTGATTTAAGTGGAGCTGCCCATCTTGAGCGCATTCTATAATACAGAGCGGCTACAAGGAAAACCCCTCCTATTCCCATTCCATCCCTAACTCACCATACAGGCAGCTTGCACAGCTTCAGAAAGTCCCCCAGCATGAGGCTGGCACCAGAAGGCTGCACACTGGAATCTCTGACAACCAAGGTCAGCGATGAGGCCAAAGGTATGTGGATCACGGCCAACACCAATAAAGGTCACAAGACGCACAGGGCACTGCCACAATGGTTCTTCCTCTGCACTAGCCTCTGCCTGCCCACACAAAGCCTGATCACTACATAGTTAAACAATTGCCAGACCCAATACTTCCAGAACCAAGTAAAGACCCCCCCCACCTCAACATGCCTGCTCACCCTCCAAAGCCCCGAACTTCACCCTCCCATGGTACCTGAATGGAATGCGCAGTCATCAGAGAGTCAGACACACTGAGCATAGCAGGAACCCAGGTTTTCTGGTCCCCCCGGGCAGTGAGGGTACCAATGGCCTCATTCAGCACATCCATACCTGAGGAGATATGCCTATTGTGCTGTCTGGCTTGGATAGAAAGAGTGTACAGAGAGTTTCTAGGACCCTTTCATTAACTTGGGATTCAGAAAGATGGGAAACAAATAATTGGGGCTGAGTGTGGAATTCTGATTTGGAAGAATGGGTATATCCAAAACTATATAAGGTCATGCAAGAACTCTAAGACTCGATACAATGTAGCTCTCACCTCACCCATATTCTCTTTCCTAACACACCGGAGCCATCAGCCCCCTTAGTCCTTACCCATGGCTTTGTTGACTGGTAGAATCCCCATGTACAGTGCCTCATATTTCTGAGCAGCCTGGCTCACTGCATCCAGCAACTCCACTGAAACATACATATCAAGCAACAATCTAGCATAGAAACTCAGTTGCCCCTTCCCCCTTCCTTGCTGTGGTGTAGTTCGAGGACTACACCACTATGTATAAGTTTTACTATGTAACCAGCTCTGGCTGGTCTGGAACTTGTGACAGTCTTCCTATCTCTGCCTTCCAAGTGCTAGGATTACACCATGGCTCACCATGCCTCGCTTCCGCACCCTAATGAATGCACCAAGCCTCAAGCTAGAGCTGAGGCTAGTAAAGGAGAGCCTGTAGATGCACCTTCAATTCGCTGCTTTGGATTCTTGGATCTAGACTCTCCAGGAAGAAGCTAAATCACCAGGAACCCCCACCCCCGTACCACCTCCATCTCTCACAAAAGCAGCCTGATGTTGTAATGCAGCGAGCCCTTCCCCATACCTTGCCTTGGGAAGTCTTCAGGGGAAATAGGGTCTGGGGAACAGCAAACAGCTTCTCCACTGACTCCTACCCTCTCTGACAAGATCTAAAATACAGCACAGCCAGCATGAGGCACACAGAAAGAAAGGGAAGTTAGGGTCAGGGGTCAAGCCCACCCTAACCCAACTCCATATTCCCTGCGCCCCCACTGGCCCTCACCTGTGCACAGAGCCCCTGTAGAGCACTTGCAATGGCCTTTGCAGGCACATCACAGCGAAACACATGGCACTTGAGCATACAGCTGTCTTTGTCACCCGCAACGAAGGCAAAGTCCCTAGCAAGGGCAGGGATAAGACTATTTAGGCCAGGTGCTTCTAAGTGCCTATAAGAAACTTCTAAAGTTAAGCTAAAGATATGGCACAGTTGGAATGGGGAAGCCAGGGACACTGCTCAGAGTATCTAGTTGTCACATACCTGTCACTGTTCCAGAAGCATGTGGGAGCACAGGATAAAATCAGCCCAGCCTCTCAGCCTCTCCCCCATCTGTCCCTGCTGAGCTGGGCGCATGGGCCCACCCACCCCAACCAGGACTGAACCAGGCAGGGAAGGTCATGCTGGGTCCACATCAGAGATCTGTGTCCAAGGGTTCAGCATCAGTGGGGATGGCAGCCTGCAAGGGGGAAGGGTGATGCAACTCTTGCTCGGGGGAACACAGAAGTCCTCACCGGCCCTTGGAGCTGCCCACACCCCAGACACGGATGTGAACCAGAGGCTGACAATGGATCAGACTGTGGTCCAGGGGATTCACTAGGCTCATGGCATCTTTCTTCAGGATCATCAACATGTTCTGGCCCTGCCAAGGACACAGAGTTGGCAGATAAAGGTGGCTAACATGGCAAACAAGCAATTCACAGAAAACCTACCTCCGCTGAGCCATAGGGTGAACCCCTGGAGAAATCAGACAACTCACCTCACCCCAGGCACCATCATGGGGCTGGCTCCGGTTGCGAGTCTGGGCCAGCTGCTGGATACAGTTATTGACAGCAATACTGCTCTTCCCTGGTGCCAGGTCCTCCTCAGGCACCTCTACCCAGCCCAGAGAGCGGACTGCAAAGCACTGACAAGATGGGGAAAAAGAAGTGGTGTGATGGGCGACACTAGGTTCAGCCACATCAGCTCTGGTAGTCCTATTCTTTACACTTAATCAACCCACTCACTGAATAATTCTACCCCTGATCTTTCCCTTGCAGTCTCAAACTGCAATGTCTTAAACTGGCCATCAGCTTCAATCACTACCTTAGCTCCTGGCTCCAGGCTCCGGACATAGGAATCTTCGCCATACCATGTTAGAGAGTTACTGGAACAGATGAGAGCCAGTAAAAAGATTAGGATTCCTACGTTAGGGGTAATGGTGAAACCCAGCCTACTTGATCAAGCACAGAATCTGGGACAAGACCCAAAATATAGCACCATAAATGCAAACCCAGAAAAAAGCAGGGCCCAGAATATGGTTAACAAACTACAGTTCAAAATTTGAAGAAATCCAGTACACAAGACATAGGCATAAACTAAAATAAATACGAATATGAATTAAAAGTGTGGACAAAAGCCTCAAACTAGAACAAGAGACTGTAAAACACAGAATAGGAATCCTCCCACTCCCCCACCCCACCCCACCCCAAAAAAACTGAAGCGAACAGACGGAGTCTACTAGAACATGATGGGTCAGGACAGAGGACACAGAACGTAGACCTAATGATAAGAACTTGCAACAGACAAAAATCTACAACCGTCAAGAACATGGGAAAGCCAAGCACAAATAGAGCCCCAAACAGAGTCCAGAACTACAGTTTAAAAGCAAATTGTGGAGACAGGCATGGTAGCTACTGTGTGAGTTCTAGGTCAGTTATGGCTACATACACAGTGAGACCTGAGACCATCTCAAAAAAGCCAACAAAGTGTGGGTCCAGCTTCATTCTTTTGAGTGCCACAGTAACCCCAAGGCTTTCATTTGGCCTGGGCCACCCCTGTTACCTCCGGTTCAATGAACTGTCCAGGCTGGAGAAGGATCTCCCCTTGGGGGGTCGCAGTTCCCAAATCCCCTCCGTCCTCTATGGAGTAGAGATTAGTCAGTGTAGCAGCAGGCTTAGGTGTACACATGAGCTCAGACCCGCTCCTCACGTTCTACCTACCGCTCCTGGGTCATCTGCACCTCCTAGTTCCCAGGTTGGGCGCTGCCACTGAGTGCTACCGCTGGGTACATGCCAATAATAAGTGCCTGCAGCATCGCGGATCTTTCTCCAGCCAGGGGGTAATCCTGTCTCCCCCTCCAGATTTTGGTCCCCCCACAAGTCATCTATAGGAACAAGGGATTAAATCAAGGAGCCACATTACTCGTGAGTTCCCAACAATTCTCTCATAACCCTCGCTCCATCCTAGAGGAGACAGCCCTAAACTTAGACGTCAACTCCCCAGTCATAAAGACAGCACCTGCAAGGAACAAGGTTCCCTTATCCCCTGGTTCTCGTTCCCGAGATGCCACCCACCTCCATCCACCCCATGTTTAAGCCTCGGGTAGCCTTCTTTCACCCCTTATATCCCCTCTGCATTTGGTCCTCCCAACCGGACCCTCGGTGCACACCATCGCAGTTGACCAGAATGATGGCCAGCATATAATCCTTGCCCAACATAGCCTCTGACAGCCTGCGCTCTCAGCCCACGGCGACCTCCGGAGCTGCAGGGCCCCCTAGCCCAGCCTCTGCGCCGGAGACCGCCGGGCCAACTGGGCGGGATTGGGCCGGCCTTGGGGGAGGGCAGAGGCGGGCCTGAGTTGCAGGCGCCGCGGCGTCCGGGTCGCCGAGTCCTCGCGCGTCTCGGTGCGTGTGCTCTACGAAACGCACCGACACTATGAACCCCACACCCGTAGGCAACTAGGAGTTCCTCGGTCGGCGGAAGACCGGCGAGAACGTGCCCTGTGTGCACCAAGGCGCGGATGACATCATCGCGTGGAGCATGAGATCATCACGTCCCGACCTTTACCCGCCCGCGTACACGGCCCAGGACCAGACGGGAGGGATCCGGTGGCCGCGCCAGAGCACAGCCTAGAGTAATAGGAAAAAAACGCCCCGCCTTTCCCCGAAATGCTCCGGAAGTGCCTCTACCCTCAGTAGAGTTGGAAGTAACCTTTGACGTAGGGAGGCGGGGCTGCGCGTGCGCAACAAGTTCGGCGGGGGAAGATGGCGGATGACAAGGTGAGTTGAAATCCAGGGGTGCTTCGGTCGGGGTGGTTTTCAAATTCCTTAACCTTTATAGATTTGAGCAGAGACGACGGGGATAACTCTTGGTTTTTGCCTGGGTTTCTGTTAACTGCCTCAACAGTAGGGAGCTTTAGGCGAAGGGCTGCTCTTCCTGGGACTGACACGGTGCCTAATTCGGAGCACACATTCAAATATATTCACTCTGTAGCAGTGCTCATTCGGGCCGTTTCCTAGCCCCTGAAGTCTCTCTTACAGAGACAGCATTTCCATTACACCCTTACCACCACCCTCACTCAAACACTTCCTGCTTCCTACTGACATGCCACCAGACCGAGTCTTGTAGCCACCCTCTTGCTGACACATGTTCGCCACATATTCGTGTATTCTCATTCATTGTGAAATGACCTGAGCAGATAGCAGGCTAACCTCGAATTGTACAGGGGACTGCTTCAACCTGTTATTCCCAGCTGGTCCATAAGCACAGCATCACCCACAGATTTATTCCTAGCCTGCCAGTTTCTCTGTCAGGTACCAGGACACAGCAGTGAAAGCAGGCTAATGGCCATTTTCATCAAGCTTTACTTCAGCCAATAGTACTTCCTTCCTGAAGCTAAATAGAAGTGCCTCTGCTTGCCCTGAGATTCTGTGGAAGTCATTACAAGTTCCTGGTGCACGTTCCTTCTCTCACCTCCCGGCCCCCCGGGAGTGTTTTGCTTTTCAGTGTCTGTCTTCCTACATCACTGCCGTCTCAGGAAAGTGTTGTAGGAAGAGATTTATTTGGTTCTTCCCATCATCCCTCCCACAGCTCACCTAGTTCCTAGCCTCTGATAAAATTGAGCAGGGCATGGGACTGGGTCAAGTCTGCTGGAGCCAGCCTCTCCCTTGTCCTAGGATTCTCTGCCGAAGCTTAAAGACCTGACATTTCTCAAAAACCAGCTGGAGCGCCTACAGCAGCGTGTGGAGAATGAAGTCAACAGTGGTGTGAGCCAGGTAAGGGTCCAGTTGCTCTTGGGAATGTTGAATAGTACATAGAGTTTTACTTTAGCGAATGGACATTGAGGGCTCCATGAACGTCTCCCTGAGAGAAAAGAACTGGAACTGGGCATTGTGGTGCATGTAAGTTCAAGGCCAACCTGGGCTATATAGAGGATTGTAGGCCAGCCAGTGCTACACACAAGAGACCCTGTCTCAAAACCAGCAGGGGAGGAAAAAAATAGCACTTAAGCTGAGATCCTAAATAGGTATTCAATAGGTGAGGTCGGGATGGGGAGAACATTCCAGGTACAGCACAGACAAACCTTGGTGATGAGCAGCATTGTGAACATGAAGCAGGAGAAAAGTCGTTTGTGGTCATCAGCGACCATGCTGGGAAATGAAACTGGAGGAACAGGCAGGGCTCAGGTTCCTCAGAAGCCTCTCTTGCATTCTAGGTGAATGGCGTTCTGGGTAGAGCCCTCTAGGATTCTGGTATTGTGTGCTTGGGTCTCTGACATTCTTTTTCTAGCTCCAGAATTTTGAGATAATCCTTGGAGAAAAGAGCATAGCTGTTGGCAGTGAAGACGGGCAAGTGGTCGAATGCTCTAAGCCCAGCTTAAAAATGAGGGCACACCTGATTTCCTTCTGTGTTTTTCCCTGCAGGATGGCTCGCTCTTGTCCTCCCCGTTCCTCAAGGGATTCCTGGCAGGCTATGTGGTGGCCAAACTGAGGGCATCAGCAGTATTGGGCTTCGCAGTGGGCACTTGCACTGGCATCTATGTAGCTCAGTCGTATGCTGTACCCAACGTGGAGAAGACCCTGAAGAACTACTTTAGGTCACTACGAAAGGGGCCCGACTAGACCCTTTGGGGAAGGCAGGATGGGTGTGTTGGACCTGCAGGTAGAGGCCTTTCTATCACAGACGCTCTGTCTGGCTTCCCCTGCCATTGTTCATTTGCTGTCTCCAGCTGACCTGTCTCTTTCATCCTTGCTTGTCCTCCTGCAGAGAGTGGACAGTGCTCGGTCAGCCTGCACCCTGCACTCCTTCCCCCCCTAGTTCCGTGGGACTAACCCCAAAACTATGGGTCATGAGCCCTGCCTTCAAGCCCTAACTGTGGAATGTGCACCTGACTCTGACGTTCAGTATTCTCTCTGGTGATGCACCACCATTCTGCACTCAATTTCCTTCAGATGCCTCCCCATCCCTCTGTCGCTTGCTAGCTACACAGGCCACCCAGAGTCTGGTGTAGGCCATGAGTGTAGAAGATGGGGGTGTGCCAGGCCTAGCCCGTCCAAGACAGGCTCGCTGGACCCTGATGCTATTCCTGTCCACTGCCATGTATGGTGCCCATGCACCGTTCCTAGCACTGTGCCATGTGGATGGCCGAGTGCCCTTCCGGCCCTCCTCAGCTGTGTTGCTCACTGAGCTGACCAAACTACTGTTGTGCGCCTTCTCCCTCCTGATGGGCTGGCAGACATGGCCCCAGGGCACAGCGCCCTGGCGCCAGGCTGCCCCCTTTGCCCTGTCAGCCCTGCTCTATGGCGCCAACAACAACCTGGTGATCTATCTGCAGCGTTACATGGACCCCAGCACCTACCAGGTGCTGAGCAATCTCAAGATTGGAAGCACAGCTCTGTTGTACTGCCTCTGCCTTGGGCGTCGCCTCTCTGCACGCCAGGGGTTGGCACTGCTGCTGCTGATGGCTGCAGGGGCCTGCTATGCTTCGGGTGGCTTTCAGGAACCTGTGAGCACCCTTCCTGGACCCCCCTCAGCAGCCGGATCCCGTGCCATGCCCTTGCACATCACTCCCCTGGGACTTCTGCTCCTCCTCTTATACTGCCTCATCTCCGGCTTGTCCTCGGTGTACACAGAGCTGATCATGAAGCGACAGCGGCTGCCCTTGGCTCTTCAGAACCTCTTCCTCTACACTTTCGGGGTGATCCTGAACCTTGGACTGTATGCTGGCAGCGGCCCCGGCCCGGGCTTCCTGGAGGGTTTCTCAGGATGGGCAGTGCTGGTGGTGCTGAACCAGGCGGTAAACGGACTGCTCATGTCAGCTGTCATGAAGCATGGCAGCAGCATCACGCGCCTCTTCGTCGTGTCCTGCTCCCTGGTGGTCAATGCTGTGCTTTCAGCAGTGCTGCTGCAGCTCCAGCTTACAGCCGTCTTCTTCCTGGCCACGCTGCTCATTGGCCTGGCTGTGTGCTTGTACTATGGTAGCCCTTAAGGCCTTGGCCATCCCCACCCCGACTTGTGGCTGTGCAGATTAGATGCAACCACCAGAGCCACCTTCTATCTTACCACCACACCCGCCCAGCAGCCCTGTAACAAGTGCCTTGTAAGAAACACTAAGGTAGCCATGGCCTTTGGATGTTCAGGTGGGGGAGTGTTACCCCTAGGAGGTAAAAAGAGTGGGCTTGGTTAAGAAAGCGCCTAACCACACCCCTATATTCCTTCATAGTAAAGAACTGGGAGCTCCGAACCCTGCCTCGTCCTGCATGCACATGGCTACTTAAGTTTGCTCTTCTTGCCTGCTGTGGTCACTCCTGAAGACCCCTGCCCTGAAGCTTGGTGCTGGCTGCTTCAGCCCAGCATGGTGTCCACATAAAGGATTCTTAGTTTGCCCGCTCCACAGTGCTGCTCTTCTTTCCTAGCCATTATTCTGGAACGGTCAGAGGGGGCTGGGGTTTGACTCATCTCAGGAAACGTTGCCCCTGGGCCCTGGCATAAGCCTACACTCCTGACCCCTGTGCTAACTCAAGGGCCCTGCTGAAGCCCACTTGACCTCTAAGGCACCTAGGAGGTACTGTTTTTCCCACCTGTTCTCCCTCCTAGTGGTATTCCACCTCCCAACAGCCGGGGAAGGCTCTGCAGAGTAACCAGGGACCAGGTACAGACAATGTCTATAGCTAATCAGTGTCTAACTACTTAAGCAATAAGGTCTTAATAAAGTGTTGAGGGCGTAGGGTGCTTCCTACAGCCTCTCACAGTTTTGCGTATTCTCTGTTTTCTGCGTTTTGTGGTGCGAGTTCCCTGAGTTTGATTTTGGGGTTTTTTTTGGGGGGGGGGTGGTTTTGTTTTTTGCTGGTTTTGGTTTTTTGTTGTTGTTGGTTTTTTTTTTTTTTGTTTTTTGACAGTCTATGCCTCAGCTACCGTCTCTGTAGGGAAAAGGTCTCACTTGAAAACCTGCAGTAAGTGAAATGGGCTAAAATGTACCAATTCATAATCCAAGCAGTCCAGTGTTCCCAAGAGTTTCAGGAAATGCTAACAGGAAACTGCCTAGGAAACTGCCTCAAGGGACGGTAAGCTGTTCACCTGTGGAGGAGGGGTAGTTAGTGAGGTAGTGAACGCCGGGGCCTTTGTGTGGAGGAGGGTAGTTAGTGAGGTAGTGAATGCCCAGGCCTTTGGCAGGAAGAAGCAAGAATTGTTGCGATTTTAGTCCAGGCTCTATCTGGGAAGAAAAATATCACTATATGTGAAGTCTGTCCTGGAACTAGCTCTTAGAGTCTTCATATTACTGATGACATGCCTTTCCTACCTTCTCATACACAGTAAAGACAAGTCTCAACTCTGCTGTACTGATTGCTTGTTGGGTTATAGACATGAGTATGAGATTGGGGGAGAAAATCTTTCGCTATTGCTCTCTTGGCCCTTCCCTATCCTCTGTCCTACACACCTTCCCACTCCCTTTATGTTCTCTCTTTTGTTTGTGCTTGGTCTTTTTCTTTATGATGCTAGAGGTTGAAGCTGGAGCCTCAAAACACCCTAGGCAAACACTACTGCTGGTTTACACTCCCAGCCTTTGCTCTCTGTCCTCAGACTTAACTCCTTCTTGTCCCAGCGCTTATCGTACTGTTTACTTGGATCCCAAAGTTTTGGCCAGAAATTAGAGGTTCTGTCAACAAATGTATGCTCTTTCAAAGCCTGCTCTTCATTTTGTTACCATCACAGCTAGTACTTCCATGTAACTGAGGCATCCAAGTGGTGGAGTGCCTGCCTAGCCTACATGAGGGTTTTTTTTTTTAATTTTATTAGTATTTGTTGAGCTCTACATTTTTCTCTGCTCCCCTCCCTGCCTCTCCTCTCCCTCTCTTCAATCCTCCCCAAAGGTCCCCATGCTCTCAATTTACTTAGGAGATCTTGTCTTTTTCTACTTTCTACTTCCCATGTAGATAAGATCTATATAAGTCTCTCTTAGTGTCCACAATGTTGTCTAAGTTCTCTGGGATTGTGGTTTGTAGACTGGCTTTCTTTGCTTTATGTTTGAAAACCACCAATGAGTGCTTTTCATGTGATAATTGTCTTTCTGTGTCTGGGTTACCTCACTCAAAATAATGTTTTCTAGCTCCTCCTGCAAAATTCAAACTGTCTTATTTTTTTCTTCTGTGTAGTACTCCATTGTGTAAATGTACCACATTTTTTTAATCCATTCTTCGATCGAGGGGCATTTAGGTTGCTTCCAGTTTCTGGCTATGACAAACAAAGCTGCTCTGAACATAGTTGAGCACATGTCTTGTGGCACTATTGAGCATCCTTTGGATATATACCCAAAAGTGGTATTACTGGGTCTTGAGGAAGGTTGTTTCCTAATTTTCTGAAAAATCACCACACTGACATCCAAAGGGGCTGTACCAGCTTGCATTCCCACCAGCAATGCAGAAGTGTTCTCTTTTCCCCACAAACCCTCCAGCATACATTGTCATCAGTGTTTTTGATCTTGGCCATTCTCTTGCAGGTATAAGATGGAATCTCAGAGTTGTTTTGATTTGCATTTCTCTGATGACTAAGGATGATGACTAAGGATCTTTCAGCCATTTTAGATTCCTCTGTTGAGAGTTCTCTGTTTAGGTCTGTACTCCATTTTTTTTTTATTGGATTATGTGATCTTTTGGTGTCCAATTTCTTGAGTTCATTGTATATTTTGGAGATTTCGTGAAGATCTTTTCCCCATTCTGTAGGTTGTCGTTTTGTCTTGTTGACCGTGTCCTTTGCTTTACAGAAACTTTTCAGTTTCAGGAGGTCCTTTTTTTTTTTTTTTTAGTTTTTCAAGACAGGGTTTCTCTGTATCTTTGGAGCCTGTCCTGGAACTAGCTCTTGTAGACCAGGCTGGCCTCGAACTCACAGAGATCCGCCTGACTCTGCCTCCCGAGTGCTGGGATTAAAGGCGTGCGCCACCACCGCCCGGCTCAGGAGGTCCCATTTATTGTTTCTCTCAGTGTCTGTGCTGCTGGGGTTATATTTAGGAAGTGGTTCCCTGTGCCAATGCATTCAAGTGTACTTCCCACTTTCTCTTCTATAAGGTTCAGTGTGGCTGGCTTTATGTTGAGGCCTTTGATCCATTTGGACTTGAGTTTTGTGGATGGTGATAGATATGGGTCTATTTTCATTCTTCTACATGTTGATATCCAGTTATGCCAGCACCACTTCTTAAATATGCTTTCTTTTTTCCATTTGATATTTTTTGCTTCTTTATCAAAGATCAGGTGTTCGAAGATGTGTGGATTGATATTCAGGTCTTCTTTTCGGTTCCATTGGTCCTCCTGTCTGTTCTTATGCCAATACCAGGCTGTTTTCAGTACTGTAGCTCTGTAGTAGAGTTTGAAGTCAGGGATTGTGATGCCTCCAGGAGTTCTTTTATTGCATAGGATTGTTTTGGCTATCCTGAGTTTTTTGCTTTTCCAAATGAAGTTGAGTACCGTTCTTTCGAGGTCTTTGAAGAATTTTGCTGGGATTTTGCTGGGCTCCCTGAGTTTCTTAACATCTAGAGTAGGAGAGAAATCTCCCAGCTGTTGCCAGTGGCATTGTTTGTCTTGAGAGCTCTGTGGTTCTTGGACTGTCTTGACCAGTTATGGTGGGGCACACCGGGGACCCCAGCACTCCAGGAGGTAGAGCAGGAAGAGCTTGGGTTCGAGGTCATGCTGATCTGCTTGAGGAAACTCAGTCTCAAAAGGAAGCATTGAGGGTGTGGTGATGCAAACCTGTGTCTCTCCTCGGAGACAGGCAGAAGAAGCAGGAGTGCAAGTGGGCCTGGTTCAGTGGTTAAGATTGCATGCTGCTCTTGTAGAGGACCCAAGTTCAATTCCCAGGCAGCCACAGCCACCCATAACTCCATCTCCAGGGGGATCTGACACCTCTGGCCTCCATGGCATTCATATACCCACCCACGAACACATAATTAAATATTTTGTTGTTTTTTTTGAGACAGGGTTTCTCTGTGTAGCAACTCTGGCTGTCCTGGAACTCACTCTATAGACCAGGCTGACCTCAAACTCACAGAGATCTGCCAGTCTCTACCTCCTGAGTGTTGGCATGCGCTGTCACTGCCTGGCTAAATGTGTGTGTGTGTGTGTGTGTGTGTGTGTTTGTGTGTGTTTAATGAAAGGCCAGCCTGGGCTACAGTAGAGTTGGTCTCAAAAAGAAAACAAAGGGCTGAGATTGTAGTTCAAAAAGACAAGCACTTGCCTACATGTGTAAGCCCTGTGTTTGATCCCCCCAGCACTGAAAGAAAGAACAACAAAAATCACTTTTTTTTTTAATCACAAGCACTGATTTAGAGATTCTTGGGACTGAAAAATACTCTGCTCAGCATAACAAATTAGGCTAGAAAACACTTAAGGCCACAAGTGTTTCACATCCTAATCCAGACTAACCTGGAATGAATTGTAGAGCCCAGGTGTCCTCAAATTGAAAGCAATCTTACCCCAGACTCTATCGTGCAGAATTTATGGTCATGAGACTCCATACCGAGCCACTGTTTTGACTCTTCCTCTCTGATTCTTTCACATCTGTCCTTTGAAGTCCTGGACAGAGGACTGTCAGGCCCTGCTCCCTAGAACAATGGGTGAACTTTTCAAAACAAGACTGCTTCTGTTGTCCTGGTGCCATACTGTAATCCCAGCACTCTGAAGTTGGAGGTAGGAGAGCCCGTAATTCAAGGTCATCCTTAGTTATATAGCAAGTTCCAGGTCAGCCTGGACTGCATGAGACTCAGTCTCAAAAAAGAAAAGAAAAAGTTGCAGAGTTAAATCCGTAGTTCAGAAGTAGAGAAGATACTTGGCATACAGAGACTCTGGGTTCCATCCCTCGCACAGGAGGAAGAGGGGGAAGAGGACTCTTCCCTTGCTACTTAGCTGACTGTCCTTGGCAGTTACTAGGACAGGTGAGCTCTGAAATGAGGGTCAAATACTACAAAGCCAGGGGAGCTGAAAAGACAAAATGAAGGAATAGGTACTGGGTGCTTAGCAGAGATTGGTACAAGGAGACACGATTAGTGATGGTGGTGATTATCTGTAATGAGGGCCATCTTGATGGATGTGCCCCACCTTCCTCTCCCTTCTGAGGCCCTCATGAATGAGGACAAGGGAAGGCAGCCCCATAGTGTTCCTGACCAGGTTCCTCTCCATACAGGACTCCAGCACAACCGGCCCTGGCTGCACTCTGCTCAAGCTGCTGGTTCCTGGCCTGGAGCTCCTGGGTCTTCAAGGCCAGATCAATGTTGTCTTGGAGGACTCCAGCCAGCAGGCTGCGGTGACGGTGTTCTGTGGCCACGGCCTTCTCCTCCCACAGCCTCTGCCAGGATTGAAATACCTGTGTGCAGAGTCAGAGATGCCTGTTGGTCCATCAGCCTTTCCACCAACTTAAGGCCTGCACTCTGTCTCCACTGACCTGTAGCAAGTGGCATGTCCGAACTCGGGTGGCCTGCACATACAAGTCATAGAGGGCCACCAGATCCTGCTCCGCCATGTCCCGTTCTGCCTGCAGGGCTTCCACCTGAAGTTTCAGCCCTGTCTGCTCCTTCCACTGCCTCTCCCTCTCGTCACAAGCCTGCGGAGAAAGTTGTACCTTTTGGCACGTGCCACCTGTGTCAGGCTTTATGCGAAAAAGTTCAGGTACACGATCTCATTTTGTCCTGGTCATTCTTATGAGGAAGTTCCCCTTTTACAGCTTTGCAAACAGTGCACCAGGGAAGGGATCAGATCGGCCGAATGTCCATGGCTAA